AGATGAAGGTTTACAGAACAAAATAGTTTCTCATTAAACAGTACACATGTTGCCCTATGACAGTGGTTAACAACCCCACTACATGTCAACACTGTCCTTATTCAACCGTGGTTTCTCTATCACCAGCTTTCCTGTCCCCTTCTGCCTTCTAGTCTTTGTCCCTGGACTGCTGTGCCTCATTAGTCCCGTTTTGTTTTATGGGGCTCGGGTTTATATTCTGAGCACATTTTTTTCCTGTGTAACATTAGCATTGTGCAACTCAGAAGCTCCCGGAAGAACTGAAATTCAAAAGGAATCTTTGAGATACAGACCTCCTTCCCCTCCCTGCCTCAACCAGGGAACCTTTTCAGACTGTCTCTTCCCAGAATGTCAGGAGAGTCCAGAGCGTTGGCCTGCCATGTTCCAAAAGAACAAGAAGGACTTATAGTTGTGAAGGTTGAGGAAGAGAATTATGTTTGGGGGCAGGAATTTGGTCTTCAGGGAAGCCCCCATAGCCAGGAAATCTTCCGTCAGCGGTTTAGGCAGTTTGGGTACTCTGACTCCTCTGGGCCCCGGGAGGCTCTGAGCCGACTCCGGGAGCTTTGCCACCAGTGGCTGAGGCCAGAGACACACTCCAAGGAGCAGATTCTGGAGCTGCTGGTGCTCGAGCAGTTCCTGGCCATCCTGCCTGAGGAGCTGAAGGCCTGGGTGCGAGAACATCAGCCAGAAAGTGGAGAGGAAGCCGTGACTATGCTGGAGGAGCTGGAGAAAGAACTCGATGAACCAAGGCTACAGGTAAGAAGTAGTTTTGTTTTTTATTTTTAACCTATTATGGGTTAGTGGAGATTATAACTGGGCATCAGTTTGGTTGTCAGAGGAGAATTGCTATAAAGTTTATAATTTTTGAGTTATTATTCTTCCATTGGGTTCAACTCATTAGGGCTTTTAGCCCTAGTGTTTTCTATCTAGTCATCTGAGTAAGTTTCTGACTCCTCCTGTCCTGCACCGTTACTCTAGGGGTTTTCCTCTTGTATGTCTTCAGAATCATAGTGCCGGTACTTGATTATTCCTAGGATACAGCTCACGGCCAGGAAATGATCTGGAAGGAAATGACATCCATGGGAGCATTGAAGTCTCTGAGTAGTCAACTTCAGCCCTTGGAAAACCAATACAGGAGTGAAACTCATGACTCCCAGGCTTCCCATGAGAGAGGTGAGGAGCCAGACTCCATTTGGGGTACAGGATGGAGATGAGGGCTATCATCTGTGGCATTATTCATTTTCTAGGTCTTTTTTGTTTGTTTGAAGAGGCAGGGGTCCCTTGTGGCTGTTGTTAAGTATTGTGGAAAGGCCCTTGCCTAGAAATATTCTTCCATTTGCTCTCCCTGGAGTCTGAAATTCCAGCATAATTTATAACTTTAGATTAAGAATTAAGATATCTAATAAAATTCTCTATATCCATAATATTCAAAAACCAATATTCAGGTTTTGTAATACTGTGGTCCCTTTAGCAAGGCAATCCCTAAGATGGAGATGAATACTGTATCAGTAGAGATCCCATCATTTGATGAAACTACATAGTAACTTTAGCAGGGAAAGTTTAATTTTAAGAATTATTAACTGTAACAGGGAATTACCTACTAATGTATAAACAGAACTCTAAAGGAAACAGGAATAACAGATACAGGGAGTCTCTAGGGCTGAGGCAGAGCACCCAAGGAAAGAACAAATGTGCAAGAGGGTGCAACTACCCCTGCCCACCAGGGCTAAATTCCAGATCTTGTTGGAGTGGGTGTAGCTGTGGCTCATGGGGTAGAGATATTCGATGAGGGACCATGTTGGTAGCACTTGCTAGGAAGCTTTTCTCTAGTGGGGGAGCCATTCTCTTGGGGCAGTGTGTGGGGTGCTGTGCTGCAGAATCACTGAGAAGCTTTCCTCTTGGTGCCAGAAGCTGCCTATGGGGAGGTTCATGGCATAGAACTTTCTGGGGAGCCTTCCACAAGGATGATGCTGCTGAAACTCACTGGGGTGACACTGCTGGGTGTTTCTGGTGCTGCAGGAGCAAACAGAGAACACACCAGAAGCAGGAATAAAAGCCCCTTCCTCTTCCAGTGTCCTCTAGACCCCTCTACTGAGAAAGCTTACATCATGCCAGCCAGCAGGGGAGAAATGTTCCAGGATCACAGGCAGGGCAATGAAAGGTGGATCTGAAACTGAGAGGCAATAAATTGATAGATGTCACAGGTGCCAATGATTACAGTGAAATCTGTGAGAACCGAAACTTGATGGGACTGCCTCGTCTTCTGGGTCTTGCAAGTTTTCTGCCTCTGATAGGATGCAATCTTACCACTTTTTTATCGCTCATTTTCAGGGAAAAATACTTTTGAGTTTTCCTTTTCTGACAGGTTTCTGCCTTACACAAGTTTCTGCTTTAGTAGGTTTTACTGTATGATCAAAAGGACTTTGATTATATTATTGGCAAAATCATCCCTATGTGCAGTGGATATATCAGGATTATCAGTTTGTTCTCATTAAAACTTCTGATTTCATCTTCACCAAACAATCTTACTAACTTCCCATGAAGGGGAGCTATAATGAGAAAATGCATTTGTTCACTCTGGTCTATGTGACGGTTGTGTTATTCTTTAATTCTCATCTTGACCTTATCACTTGGTTCCATGAGCTTGGTTAATGACAGTCCACCACGGTAAATCTGTTCATCGTATACTGATAAAATTAGGTTTGTGAGGCCACAAACCTGAGGGCTAGACCCTGGACCATAGCAATTCACCAAGGGAACCCCTACCATCCATCCACTGAGGCCTCCTGGGAAACTCCCTTGCAGACTTCCCTCACGAGTCATACCCTCATACTGCCATTAGCCAAGTGAGCCTTCTTAAATATCTTTACACTAAGCAGGAGCTACATTAAAACACGTTTTGAAAACTCATAAAGTCCCCTGCTTTACAGCAGCTAAATGTCTAGGTCATTTATGGGAGATTATTTCTAGTTCTTTCTTTAAGGTCTTGAGGGACAGAGACTGCTGTAATTTCTTAAGTCCCTACTTGGGCCTTTTCATATTATTAGTACAGTGAAACCTGTGAGAGCCAGAAATTGACAGGACTGCCTTGTTTTTCCAGGTCTCAAAAATTTTCTGCCTTTGACATGGTACAGTCTTACCACTTTCCTATCAATCTGTATTAGTGGAAAATATTTGAGGTTTTCTTCTCTGAAAGGTTTCTGCCTTACACAAGTTCTGGCTTTTGCAGGTTTTACTGTATTAAAATTATTCCCTGTGTCCATATGAAAAACTCCTAGCTTTAATTTAATGCCATTTCCTTTTGTTTACTCAGCAGAGTCTTCAGAAAGCACAGCCTGTACTCGAAGATAATGAGTAGAATGCTCTTTGCCCTTCTTTTAACCAAGCCTGTCACTGCCTCTGATTTCCATCTGTGTTCCATCTCGCTGGTCATCTTGGCACATTTCTCAAGACACTCTCCAGTCTCTCCACATTCTTGTGAAGTTCAGGGATCAAAATAAAATACTCTAATGAGGATCTGATTACTTTAAAATATAAGGTTGATTCACTTCCCAACTTTTATCTGTTATACTCTGTATCTTTTTGTTTGTTACTTTACAGTGGCATTATGCTGTTGACTCAGGCACCTTACAGGCAAAGTGATTTCACCTTTTTCTGCCATCTTTGGCCTTAACACAATTTCCTCATCCTCCACTTATAACTGGTCCTTGAGTGCACAGCCTTGAATGGGTTGCTGTTGAATCTCATTATGCTAGTCTCGTTTTAGTCTGGAGGGTCTTAATCCCCCTGCCTCTGTAGTATTAATGTGGATCATTTCAAGTCTCTCATCCAGGTCATAGGTTTAAAATCACTGGAGGGACCTACCTTGATTGTAAGAGTCACCATGCCATTTTTACAACCTTGGATTATGATTTTCCAGTAGATTGTTCACCAGTCTAACAGTATGTCTTGCTAGAAGAGCCTTAGATGGAGAGTTGGGTGCAGATGATTTATTGAGGGTGTAGGCTTCAGGAGAAATCTGTGATAGAGTGAGGGAAGCAGGATTAGGAAGAGAAAAGAGCAAGCAATGATGTGTTGCTCAGGTAAAATCTAGCATTGGTCTAATCCATGGGAATACCATGAGGTGGGTGAGGGGACCTGGAGCATAATTACACTGTAGGTCTAGCAGTGGGGGAAGGGGATGGAAGTAAGTTCCTGGGTCAAGTGGCTCTCATTAGCTGAGGATAATTCTCCAGAGAAGGGCATCTGTGGGTAGTAAGGAACCAACTCTCATAGCAGGTGGGGGAAGGGGATCTGGGTGGGGCAGCACAGCAGTAATGTAAATAGTACTTGGGCTAAAAGCATATTTGTCAATGTGCAATTAAAGGCCATGTCCCCAGTTAAAAGGTTTTAGACCAGATAGGTCACTGAACAGGTAGGGAAATAGCAGGGGGTATGTTATAAAGAAGAGCTCCATTACAGAGAAATCTATGGCTTATTTCTCTTTCAGTGAGCTTCTTATAATCTGTGTACCACCCTCCAACCTAGCAAGTTTGGGCTTAATTGTGAATTAGCTTTCATTCGTGGGCAGGTATTAATTGGGTTATTTGGATTATCTCTGTATTGGTATTTTAAATATTCAGGTAACCATTCCTTATCTTATTCTTATCTCTATTTCTCATTCCTAGGAATTACTCCAGTGAACAGTTTATTCTAATCTTTCTTTTTTTGTGTAATATAAATATATAGTCAAAAAAAAAAAAGTGATTTTTTCCTATCTAAGGTCAAGGTATTTCTCGGTATTATGGTTTGACTTCATATATAGAATATACAGAATTCTAAGAGGTATATTAAATTCTGTAAGTTTCATTTCTATTCTAATTTTCACAGCCCTAATTTTGTCCCTGCACAATTATATTGCCAGTTTATACCCTTTATAATTTACACTCTTTAAAATTTGATCTATTTTCTACTTCAGAAATTTTGTCATTAGTTCATCAGGCTTCTGACTAACCAAGTTGGTGGTTATTTTTCTGCCTTTATCATATGCTAATATATTTTTTCCTAAGCATTCCCTTTTTGATTAAGTACAGCCTGGAATAATTTTCATTTCTATCTAAGAACTATAGGCAGTGTGAATTGTAGTGTTCATCCCTAATCAAAGAGGCAATGCTGTCCATCTCTACTTTCTGGTAAGGAATGGGGAAAGGGAAGCCAGGCAGCTTTCTGCTCTTGTCAGATACTCACTGTGAGGCTTTATTATCGTGCTTGATGTATTGTGAAATGAAAGAATATCAGAAAGAAGTATTTACTTTCATACAAAAACATAATCCAAAGCCAAACTAAAATTATTTTTAAATTATTTTTTTGTTTTAGTGCTGCCACAGCCCTGTTTTCTATTGTTGTTATTAGGTGCTGTAGAGTCTATTTCAACTTATAGCAATCCCACGTGACAGAGTAGAACTGCCCCATAGGATTTTCTTGGTTGTAATCTCTACAGAAGAAGATCTCCAGGTCTTCTGCGGAGATGCTGGGTAGGTTGGAACCACTAACCTTTCAGTTAGCAGCCTAGCGCTTAACTGTTGTGCTACTAGGGCTCCTTCTTCTTCCAATAGGGAAGCCAAATAACATAACGGAAAGAGTATAGGCTTTGATGTTAAACACCTTTGTTTAAATCCTGACTCTACCCATTATTAATTCTGTGACCTTCAAGAGGTGGTGTAGACTCTCTCAGCCTTAGTTTCCTGATCTATAAAATACAAACAATAAGTTGAACGGGATTTTGGGAGAATTAGAGTGACTCAACAGTGTTTTAGATTCTTCCCTTAAAATAATTAAAGTTACATCAGTCATCATCTAATCATCTCCTGTTATCAGTTACTAGACATTTAGAAATGAGAGGCATGTTATGTGTAAGTCAAAAGGTTTGGCTATGGGCAGTCACATCTGCAAATTGTTTCCAGCCACCTTTGACCATTTACACATAAAAAAGTGAACATATAAGACTCCCACCTAATTCCAGAAGGAGTCAGTAACACACAATATTCCTTTTCTCAAGCTCTGAGTGTCTTACTCTGCCTATAATCATTTGATCTATCTGGAACCTGCCAGAATCTGCAATTGCTTTTATGCTTCCTAGTTCCTTCCCACCTACCTCTGTCCAATACTAACCTGCAAAGCATTTCCTAATTATATCCTCTGTTCTTCTGCTTTGCTAGAAGCACCACTGATTCAAGACTCTTAGGCATCTTTATCTTGATCACTCTTCATCACCCCTTTTCCTTTCCCTTATTCCCTAAAAATGCATTTTCTCTTCTAACCCGGCATTTCTCCTAGTTTCCTGGTCTCTCCTGATACTCCTACTTATAACCATCTCCCCTAATTAATATCTTCCCCTGGTCACCATCCCTCCTCTCCATTCTCTCATTCTCTGTTAACTTACTGTCAGAGATGGCCATCTCTCAGTACCTTACTCTTCCCAGGCCATTTCTCCAAATTCTTCAAGATTGGGAAGCTAGTTTTAAGAGTTTTCCTCCTAATAGGTATTTCTTTCATTTGGTTTATTTTCTGTTCTATGAAAGTTACCTTTCTTCCAACATGAGAAGCAAATAACACTTGTATTTTCTATTCACATTTTTAGATGACAAGATGGTGGCTGACAGAATGCTGACTGAAAAGCAGGAAATTATTGAATGTGTTACATCAGCAGCCTTTATATCCCCAGGAAGACTACCTGGGAAAACTCCTTCAGGACGGATAGTTGAAGATGCTTTAGGAGGTCCAGACAGCTTTGAGAAACAAAGAGGAAATGCTGCAAGGAACAAACTGAGTCAGCTCCCTTCGCAGGAAATACATTTCAGTCTGGCAGCTTTCAACAAGAAAATCCCCACAGAAGAGACTGTTCTTGAACGTAATCAAAGTGAAGAAAATCTCAGTCTGTACTCAAGTGTTATTACACAACAAAGAATTCACACTGGGGAAAAGCTTTTTAAGTGCTTTGACTGTGGGAAATCCTTCTTACAGAACTCAAAGCTGATTAGACATCAGAGAAGTCATACTGGTGAGAGACCATATGCATGTAAAGAATGTGGCAAAGCCTTTAGTTTGAGCTCAGATCTTGTTAGACATAAGAGAATTCATAGTGGTGAAAAACCTTATGAATGTTGTGAATGTGGAAAAGCTTTCAGGGGCAGCTCAGAGCTTATTAGGCATCGGAGAATTCACACTGGAGAGAAGCCTTACAAATGTGAATGTGGGAAAGCCTTCAGCCGGAGATCAGCCCTTATTCAGCATAATAAAATTCATACTGGAGATAAAGGCTATGAATGTAATGAGTGTGGAAAGGCTTTTGGCAGAAGCTCTATCCTTATGGAACATCAAAGAATTCACACTGGAGAAAAACCTTATGAATGTAGTGAATGTGGAAAATCCTTCAATCAGAGCTCAGCCCTCACTCAACATCAAAGGATCCACACTGGGGAGAAGCCTTATGAATGCAGTGAATGTAGGAAAACATTTAGGCATAGATCAGGCCTTATGCAGCATCACAGAACTCACACCAGATTTTAACTCCTTGGGTAAGAGTTGTGCTGTTGTGAAATGCTAGTAATTAATTTTGGGGATGATGCCACAGAAGATAGAAGTTTCCTGAGAGCAAGTTTTTGTCCTTCTAGCCCTGTTCAGTACTGTAACAGGCTATCCACACAAAGATGCTTTATTGTGATCGATCAAAGTGACAGATGAGCATTTTCAGCCAGGTCTTCTCCAAAAGAAGATGGTAGGTATTGGTTAGATGCCTAATTTCTGGATGAGAGATCTCATCAACCCAGATATAACTGTTGTTGGGCACTTTTGCAGTAAGTTCAGGATTGGGGCAGAGATGTTGAAAGAGAGCCATATAAGATGGGCCAAGAGGCGATCCCTCTAATGGCAAGGATCTGTGCCTGGCAGGGTCATTTCTGCATCTGACAGGTGGAGGTGCATGCTGAGAGTTATTAAACAATCTGAACTAAGGTTGTAAAATGTTGAACTGTGCCCTGGAACAGTTTAATAGTATCTGAGAAATGGTAGCTTATTCACCCTCACCTGTTCTCTCCTCAGCCCTGAATATCCTGTTGAGATCTGCTTATCTGAGTACCTGTTCTGTACCAGGCATTGAAGGCAGACTTGTTCATTGCCCTCCCAGACTTCAGGGCTAGTGGGATGTACATTTATTAAACAGGTAACTATAGTAAAATGGGATAAGTGGCTTTGGTAGGATAAATATAGGATTCTGTTGAAGTACATGGCAGAAGTACCTAACCTGGTGTACTGTCATGGATTGCTTTTATAAGACCTTTCTCACCATGGTCTTATAACTTCCACCAAATGATTGGGTGGGACTATGCAAATAAGGTGCTTGAAGTCCACTAAGGGGATCGGACAGCTTGCTAATAATGCAAATAATGTGTATGGCACCCTTGAGGAATGGGACTGAACAAATAAGGTGTTTGGAACACTAACGAGGGGATTGGTCAGTTTTGACCTCCTGCCTGGCTTAAAGTGAGCCATCCCACAGGGAGAAAGAGGGGACCTCACTACCACCAAGAAGAAATAGGAGCTGAGTGCGTCCTTCTGGGACTTGGGGTCCCTGTGCTGAGAACTTCCTAGACCCAGGAGACAGGGAGAGAAGAGCTGTACCTGGAGACAGCACAAGATGGCAAGAAGCAGTTGCAGAGAACTGGGCGGAGAATTGGCGGCAGCAGAACCAATAAACTGGCATGAGACAACACAGTAAGCTTCTCAGCCCGTGGAGTAAGGCGGTTACAGTGGGTTTGCTGACCCATAGAGTGAAAGCTGAGCCCCTTTGGACAGGAGGCTTCCTGGCAGAGAGAGAGAACTCCAAGCACTTGTCTGTGGAGCGAGGCTTATCAACCCACTGAGCGAGAGAGCTGAGCACCTTTGGGACAAGGCTTGCTGGTGGAGTATGGTGCCCCTAGGTACTAACTGGTGTAGCTACAGACCTTTGTAACACTTGCCTGAGCAGGCCAGAGTGGGTCGAGGGGCCGAAGGGCCGAGAGGCCAAAGGCCAGAGAGAGGCCTGCTTGTGGGCATGGCTGAGAACAGGCTGTCCGGATCAAAGAATTGTATCTTGAGTTGTCCCTGATCCTGAATTGTAACCTGTGACTTCCCTAATAAACCCCATAACTGTGAGTATGATCTTGGAATTCTGTGTGGCCACTGCAACGAATTATTGAAAGCAGCAGAGAAATATAGAGTGCCGTGGGAGGGACAGCTGGTGTCAGAACTGGCAAAAAGGTTGGAGGTATGTCTGACTTCTGCCTCATAGGAATTAGCTTTGGATTGTTGATGCTGATAATGATTCTCTCTCCTTCCCCTTGTGAAGTAAGGCAAGGTCAGATGCCCCATGCCACCATTTTTACACCTGGTCTGTTGGCCATTACAGGCTTCCTAGATGTGATGACATCTCAGTTGAGACCTAAAAGGTGGGTAGAGGTTAGCCAGGTCAAGGGGAGAGGGAAAGAGAACATTATAGGCAGAAGTTATTGCACATACAAAGGCATGAAGAGAGACTCTGTAGATGTCCTTTCATCATTGCTCTTTCTCTGGCAGGGATTGGTTCTCATAGAATTAGTGTACTCAGAATTAGTATGATGGAAGATTCTAGTGTGTCCTATGGAAATGGGCACGTGTACACCAAGGAAAGACTATATATAGGAGGCTAAAGAGACAGTAGGGGCTGGGAGTGTTTGGATCCCATGACCCTGGAGCTCAGGGAATGGGAAGCTCAACATGAATACAAGGATGGGACATCTTCCTTCCCAGGCTCCTCCATTCCCCATTCCCTTGCCCCCAACCCCTTCTCATCAGGCTCAGACTCTAAGTTACCTGAGGGCAATAAATATTTGTTGAATTACCTCCACAGATTCCTCAAAACTGTATTTGTGTGCTAATTTTTATTTTAGCAATTTTAATTAACCCACAATTAATTGCTGAGGACAATTAATACCTAGGAGAAAACTGTTTCCTTTTCTAAGATGTCCTGATTTCCCTTCCAGATAGTGCCACTTCTGAAAAAGAGTTGGTAATCACAGCTGTTTTGGGTAATAGGGGAGGTGGAAATTGGGGTTTGGGGGGCAGTCTTTGTGTCCAAAGTTGTGAGACTGTCATTGAGTTCAGATAATCAGAACTCTAAAGTGATCCTTCAAAAGGATGGTGAGTTGCCTTTCCCTATAGCTGACAATCAGATGATCTCATGTTGTTAAATGGAGTCCCTGGGTGGCACAAATGGTTAAGCACTAAACCATTCAGAGGTGCCTTGGAAGACAGGCCTAGCAATCTGCTTCCAAAAGGTCACAGCCTTGAAAACCCTATGGTTCTGCTCTGCACACTTGGTGTCATCATGAGTCAGAATCGACTCAACAGCAAGTAACAAAAACAATTATCATTTATAATTAGTTTTTTCCATGATTGTAAATTGATTATATTGATAATATGGAAAATAAGAAAACTATAAATCACCCACAATGCTGCTACCCACAGAAAAATTGTTAACAATTTTGTAGTAATTTTTTTTCCAACCATAAAATTTTTGGTTAAGTCATTATTGGTAACTGATTTTTAACATTTATACTGAGTATATACTTCAACTGGTTTAGTATTAGAATGTAATGCAAGATGTAATAAAATTTGAGTTTTAAAGTTTTGCTTTGAAAATTATTCATTCAGGAATAGTGAGCACAATAACATGAGTGGAGATATGCTAGGGGAATGGGAAAGGATTTATGGTTAGAAGTCAGAGAATTAGTGCTCTCAGCTTTTATTCCCTGGGCCAAAAAGTGTCAGGAAACTATGACAGCTCGTCTCTGGGGTTATAGCACCAGCCAAAGTCACAAAATCGAGGGGGCATGTGGGGCTCTGCTCTGTGGTTGAAAGACCATGGGAATGAGAGTGAGGAGTAGCCTCTTTAAACACACAGCATCATGTGTCCACCAGAATCAGGACTCTTTCTCCCGTTCAGTCCCCAAGCTTAGGCCCGTGGACTGGGAGAGCCTGGGAGACTGCCATGGCCTTTCCCTCCTCTCAGCAGGTTCTCAATAGAAACATGTGCAAAAATACCCCATTACCCTTTGGCTCTTTGGACTGCTTGATGATCACTTGTGCTAGCCAACAAGGCAGCTGTGAATGCTAAAGCTACTGAACAGCGTTGTCTGGTTCTGGCCCATCAGAAAGCAAGGGGTGTGTGGGTATAAGCATGGCCTGCCCACTGGGCTCACCCTTGCTCTTGACATCACAGAAATGCAGTCCAAGTCAGGATGGGAAGCTTGTCTAATTGGCAATTCTTGCTCTGCCAACATGCAGGGGATGCACTTGCTGAGGCAAGAGAAACAAAGACATTCACAGGGGAGCTTTGAGAGACCAGTGTCAGATTTCTTTAAACATACAGTCTTCTGAGCTGGACAGTGTTAGATGCAGCCTGTGCAAATGAGGAGAGAGGGCAGATGTAGGAAACTGACAATTACTAAGTGCCTTGCCTAAATTGTACATTATTTTTTTAAAATCATACAAGATCCACTTAAGGCAAGCGTTCTTACCCCCTGGACAGCCTTTGTACCAAGAGAAACAAGAGGGTCCTGAGCAGAAGGGAAAGGCATGAATTGTTTTTTTTCCACACAACACTGATGAAGGACAAAACAATTACCTTTGACATCCACCTCATATCGAGACCCTATTTCATAACAGCATAGACTGTTGAAGTTCTGACCACAATAATTTTATTTCAGCTCCTTTAAACTGAGTGCCTTGCTAATGGCTGCAGAATTCATGGCAAAACTTTAACAAGAACAAAGGTCTCTATTTGAACACTACTGCTGCTTTTCTACATGGTAAATCTCCTTCATGTAGATAACATATTTACACAGAATGTTATTATTTGCAGAGGACTTTTTTTGTATACCACATATGGGATGGGTGAGTCTGCCACTGTCATTTTACCAATGAGGACTGAGGATCAGAGTCCATTAATGCGGCAGAGATGTTATGGAAAGCAAATATTTTACTTAATATTTTGTGGACTATCCTGGGCTTCCATTCCCTTTTTAGCTTTTTTTTCCTAATCTTAAGAGTATTAAGTATTTATTGTAGAAAAAAATTGGAAAATACAGAAAAGTGAAAGAAAGTTACATCACCTATGTCATCACCCAGAGATAACCATAATAGCATTTTGAGATTATATATTTCCAGTATTTTTAATGCTTAAATTTATTTTTTCAACATGGAATCATATTATACATACCATCTTGTAATATTTTTACTTACCAATATATCATGAATGCTTTGTCATTTAATATTAATTGATATCACTTGACAGCTTTTCAGACTTTGTGTACATTCATGATGATTTCTGAAGTATACATTTCCAGGTAGTTTCAAAGTTAAAAGGCAATGCTTAAGGCTTCTGGTATTCATTGCCAGAGACAGTATGTATTCACCTCTCACCGGCAGCATGAGGGTTCAAATTTCCCTAAATCTTTGTTAGTTTTAGAAAAAAAGTGCCATCTCAACTATTAAGTATTTTTAATTCTAGTGAGGTTGAACATTTATTTCTTGTCCATTGCCATTTATTCTTTTGTGATTTGCCTATTTAAGCATCCCCCCCCACCCCCCACCCCCCCCCATTTCAGGCTTTTTCTTTGTAGTTCTGAAGAAAGGTTCTGGATTCCTACTGCCTGAGTTCAAAGTCTGACCTCTAGTAGGTCATGACCCCAAGCCTTCATTTCCTCATCTGCAAGATACGGGCTGAAGGGAGAAATAACTAACACATATAAACAAAGCCCTGAGCCAGTACCTATTACATTTGTTGTTGGTATGTCAGAACTCTCTATATAAAGAATATTTCCCTTTTGTTGTTCCTACTCCACCACTCATCAGTTTAATTGTGCTTAATTAACACTTAATTGTGCTCATGTGGACCCTGTACATAAAGCAAGAGGAAGCTGTGCAACAGAACAAGGGGATACCGCATGGTTTTAAATCAGAAAATGTGTGCGTCTGGGTTATATCCTTTCACCATACTTATTCAATCTGTATGCTGAGCAAATAATTGGGGATGCTGGAATATATGAAGAACGTGGCATTTGGAATGGACAAAGACACATTAACAACCTATGATATGCAGATGGCAAAACCTTGCTTGCTGAAAAGTGAAGAAGATTTGAAGCACTTATTGTTGAAGATGAAAGACTACAGCCGTCAATATGCAATATACCTTAACATAAAGAAAACAAAAATCCTCACAACTGGACCAATAAGCAACATGATGATAAACAGAGAAAATATTGAAGTTGTCAAGGATTTCATTTTACTTGGATCCACAATCAACACCCATGGAAGCAGCAGTCAAGAAATCAAAAGACGCATTGCATTGGGCAAATTTGCTGCGAAAGACCTCTTTAAAGTGTTAAAAAGCAAAGACGTCACCTTGAAGACTAAGGTACACCTGACCCAAGGCATGGTATTCCGAATCGCCTCTTACGCATGCGAAAGCTAGACAACGAATATTAAAGACAGAAGAACTGATGCCTTTGAATTACAGTGTTGGCAAAGAATACTGAACATACTATGGACTGCCAGAAGAACGAACAAATCAGTTTTGGAAGAAGTACAGCCAAAATGCTCCTTAGAAGCATGCTTTGGACATGTTATCAGGAGGGACTAGTCCCTGGAGAATAACATCATGCTTGGTAAGATAGAAGTCAGCAAAAAAGACGAAGACCCTCAATGAGATGGACATAATGGCTGCAACAATGGGCTCAAACATGCAAGAATTGTGAGGATGGCGCAGGATGGGGCAGTGTTTCATTCTGTTGTACACTTGGTTGGTATGAGTTGGAACAAACTCAACAGCACTTAACAAGTTATGCCTACTTAACGTCTGTCCTACTGTTTTCAGTTTCCTTGGGTATTTCTGTGGAAAAAGAGGAAAACGAGTTGAGTAGCTCCTACCATATATTTCACCATTTTTTCTAAGTGATACTATCCCTTTTTTCACTCTCCCCAAACGTGCATTTAGCCCTCTTGCCACTCTCACAGGTTTGTAGATGCCTATGTATGTATGTACCAATAGGAGTATTATTTCTGTTTCTTTTTATCATCATGACAACTCTCCTTTCTCTATAACCAGGATTCTAGATTTCCATACAGATTCGGTTTGGTAAGGTCTTTGTTATTCCTCCAACCTATCAGGTCTTTTGAATGACATGTCTTTGTGTTGACGATTAACCTGTATAATATTGCTTTGCACTGAGAAGCACCTTCCTGCTGGTCCCTCAAAGGAAGAAATCTCTGGAACACCGCGACTCTTAAGTTCTGTTGTCACTTCCCTTTAGCACTGTCTTTAAAAAAATTCAAAAAAGATATTGTACAATACTGGTGATGTTAAGTCAAAACTGAACATGTGTGCAGTGTCTGAAGAATATCAGAGACCTCAAGTTTGTTGTGTTGTTAGGTGCGGTCAAGTTGGTTCCAACTCGTAGCGACTGTGTACAACAGAACGAAAACACTGCCCCGTCCCTCGCCATCCTCACAATCGTTTTGCTTGAGCCCATTGTTGCAGCCATTGTGTCAATCCATCTTTTTGAGGGTTTTCCTCTTTTTCGCTGACCCTCTACTTTACCAAGCATGATGTCTTTCTCCAGGGACTGATCCCGCCTGGTAACATGTCTAAAGCATGTGAGACGAAGTCTCACCATCCTTGCTTCTAATGAGCGTTCTGGCTGTACTTCTTCCAAGACAGATAGACTCCAAGAGAAACTGACACATTTTGAGCACCTGAACCCAAGGGTGTAATAGAAACTGAGATACACCCCCAGAAAGAAATGATACGGTAACCACAGCAGCTTCTGACAGACCCTTGGGAGTTAGGAGGAATGTGACAGCAGCTCTGATACTGTCTCAGGAAACAAAAAACCAAAAAAACCAAACCTGCTGCTGTTGGGTCGATTACAACTCATAGTGACCCTGTAGGACAGAGAACTGCCCCATAGGGTTTCTAAGGAGCAGCTTGTGGATTTGAACTGCCAACCTCTTGGTGAGCAGCCCAGCTCTTAACAGAAGGAGCCTGCATGTTTGGGAAAGGGAGACTTAGAACTTGTAACCTCTAGACTGGCTCTTTCTCACCCCTCCATCCCCCATGTAAGTTCTAGCCTAGACTACAGGTTTGGCAAGGAGTAGATATTAGCTTTTTCCCTGGGGTCACGCTAGACCAAGACAAAGCTCCTCACCACCTCATGGTCCAAGGGCTCTGTTTTGTTAACAGAAACTTCTCCTTTGGCCCATATTTTGATATAGGCACTGCTTAAAAGATTCTGGCCCCATCCCTGTCTTAAACACAATCTCACTTCAAAACGAACTTCATACAAAGTGGCCTTATATTTTTACTTCACAGATGTGCCACCTTCTCTTCCTGGACTTTGTGTTCCTTCTGTTTGTTGGGAACGGACTTCTCTGGCCTATCCCCTAGCTAACTCCTACTCATCCTCAGGGTATTTTTCTAAGAAATGTTCCCTGATCCAAGCCTGGGTCAGGTGCTTCTCCTTTGGGTCACAGCACTGAACACACTGTAGCATCCTTGCCTGCTTGACTGCCCTTTCCATTAGACTGTAGAGTGTTTCATTTTCCACTGTATCCCTAGTGGCTGGAACAGACACTAAATTAATTTGTATTTTTTTCTTCTCACTCCTAACTTCTAGCCTGCCCTGGGCTCAACAAATAATTGATGAGACCCTGTTTCCCATCTTTCTTGCTGCCCTGTCACTGTCCTTATTTAGGGTAGTAAAATGTTTCTTGAGTTCCTGAGAGTGAAGAAAAAGTCCCTCATACTGTCCATATCATCCCATCCTTGGCACACTGACAATCAGAAGTAGTGATAAAGTCTGGGTCACTGTGTCCTTTTCATGATGTTCTCATGGAAAGTGAGGTTTCAGTGTTACATTCCTATTTCCTGAGTATTCTTAATGGCAATAGAAAAGCTAAAAGAAACAGCTCTCCCATCTATCATTCTCTTTAGTCACAGAAAAAGCTTTTAAGGGTCAACTTTCATTAGCACTGAGAAGTGCAACACATAGCAAGTTAGACTGGTTGAAGACTTAGTAGTTTACAACCATTATGGAACTTTGCTCCAAAGTAAACGCTTTTGACTAACAAAGACAAGAATCTGACTGGAATATTTACAACAGTCATTGTATTCACAAGTTACTCTACAGCGTAGACTCTCTGATGGCGCCTAAGGACTGCTCCGTGCCTGACAGCTTTCCCACATTCACTAGATGTATGTATAAGCTTCATCCCCAGAGTGGATTCTCTGATGCTGAGTAAGGGCTGAGCTCCTTTTGAAGGCTTTGCCACATTCATTACACCGATAAGGTTCCTCTCCACTGTGAATTCTCTGATGTCTGATGAGGTTTGAGCTGAAACTGAAGGCTTTTCCACATTCACTACATTCATAGGGTTTCTCTCCACTGTGTATCCTCTGATGGGTAATCAAGTCTGAGCTCTGCCTGAAAGCTTTTCCACATTCGTTACATTCATAAGGTCTCTCTCCTGTATGAATTCGCTGATGCATAATTAGATATGAACTCTGACTGAATGCTTTGCCACATTCATTACATTTACAAGGTTTCTCACCAGTATGAATTTTCTGATGTCTAATAAGGGCTGATCTCTGATTAAAGGCTTTCCCACATTCACTGCATTTGTATGCTCTCTCTCCACTATGAATCCTCTGATGAATAATAAGGTATGACTTCAAACTAAAGGCCTTCCCACACTGGTTACACTTGTAAGGCTTTTCTCCAGTATGGATTCTTTGATGCTGCGTTAGAGAGGAATGCTGTGTGAAGCTGTGCCCACATACATCACATCTATAAGGTCTCTCTTCTATATGAACTTTCTGATATGATAAAGTGTTTGTACTTAGAATCAAGCTACTTTGAGGATTACCATGCTGGTCTCTCTTTCCTAGAGATTCATGTGTGAAGATCACTTGACTAAAACTGTCTCCTTGAGAAGAGAACCTCCTTAATTTCGCCCCTGTAGCACTTCCTTGCTGCCACTCTAAATGGTTTTCACATTCACTAACTTCTCGAAATGAAGGTTCCTGGGCGAGTCCTTGTGATTTTTCTCCCAAAACTTCCTCCTTTGTTGTTGACTCATTGTTCTTACAATCTGAAATGACAAACAGCAACAAACAGATTTTACATTTCTCCAGTCACACTCAGTAGTCAACCTCTACTTGAGAGAAAACAGAAGCTTCTACCTACAAAGATGTCATTGTTCACATGTATCTTTTCTTTAACTGGCTGTACTAGGGTCCCTCCTCCTCTCTAATGTTAAGGCCTCCATCTACACTTGAATTTCACCCTTTCCTGTTTCTCCAAGAGGTCAGTTGATCATTACCAACTCCTTCTTTCCCATTATTTTTAACCTCTGACTCCTGTTCATCAGCAGGTAGAGCTCCTTGTCCACACATCTCCTTCAAGCAACCTCGCTCACTGCTATTCATACATCTTCAAAGATGCTTTACTCATCCCCATTCTGCAATCTGTTTCTGCCTTCCTCTACTTTACTCTCACTGATACTGCTCTCACCAAGGTCACCAGCGTCATAGCTGCTTAATCCAATGGATACTTTCCAGATCTTATTTAGCTGGTCTCTCTGCAGTATCTGACTTTGGGGAACCTACCTTCCTTCTAGAGATGTTCTCTTTCAACAATACTGGCCTGATTTCTGTGGCTGTTCTTTCTTAGTCTCCAGGCCATGTCACTCAAACATCAGTGTTCCTCAGGATTGTGTTCTGGGCTCTCATGAATCCACTCTACGAACTACCCTCTAAGCTTCAAATACTACTTATAAGCTAGTATCCCCCCAAATCCCCAATGCTATCCCAGCTTTCTCTATTGGGTTCTAGAATCTTATATCCAGCTGCTAAATGGGCATTTTATTTATGAATATTTCACAAGCACCAATATGTGCCAAACTAAACACATCATCTGATAAATTTGTTTCCCTATTTACATCAACTGTTGTTATTAGCTGTCGTCAAGCTGATTCTGACTCATGGTGACCCCCTGCATGTCAGAGAACTGTGCTCCATAGGGTTTTTTGGAAGCAGATAGCCAGCCAGGCTTGTCGTCCAAGGTGCCTCTCGGTGGGTTTGAACCGCCGACCTCTTGGCTAGTAGCTGAACGCTTAACCTTCACTGCCATATAGGGACACCATTTACATGAACAGCACCACCCTTAACCAAATGACTCAAGACTGTAAACTGAGTATCAGTCTCAAACTCCTGTCAGCCTCCACTTTTAACAAGCAGACTGCACTAAAATTTAAAAATGTAAATACTAATGAACAGGAATCACCTTTGATCTTCCTGGGGTGGGGTTATCATACATTTTGATTTACTCCCTGTGGGCACCTGGATTGCAAAGGCCTCTAATAGGACTCCAGGACTCTACTCTTGCCTTTCTCAAATCCATTCTCCACTGTGTAACTAAGTCCTAAAACATACATCCAATCATATCACTCCCTTGCCCCAAACCCTTCAACTGAACCCCACAGCACCCAGGAAACTGTACGAACTAATTAGCATGACATTCACATTTTTACTACCTGGATCCCATTTTCCTCTTTAGTTCATTTCCCACCCTCCTCCCCTACCAATACACCATTCAAGCCAACGTGGATCACCTGCAATTCACAGAATGGCCTGTATTCTCTCACAGGACTTTATAGCTTCTGCTTGGTATAGTCCCCCTATTTACCTGGCCTTTTCCTACTCATACTACAGGTTTTAGCTTAGATATCTCTTCCTCCAGGAAGAGTGTTCCTTGAACTTCTAAGATTGGGTTAAACCAAAAAATGAAATCTGTTGCCATCGAGTTGATTCTGACTAACAGCGACCCTTACAGGACAAAGCAGAAACACCCCACAGGGTTTAAAAGGAGCAGCTGGTGGACTCAAACTGCCAACCTTTGGGTTAGGAGCCGAGCTCTTTACCACTGTGCCACCAGGGCTCCAAGACTGGGTTAGGTGCCATTTTATGGGCTCCCTTAGTACCTGTTGTTAGCTGCCGTCGAGTCAGCCCCTAACTCATAGCAACCACATGCACAACAGGATCAGACCACTGTGATCCATAGGGTTGTCACTGGCTGATATTTGGAAGTAGATCATCAGGCCTTTCTTCCTAGTTGGTTTCAGTGAGGAAACTCTGCTGAAATTTCTTCACCATCATAGCAACACAAAGCCTCCACTGACAGATGGGTGGTGGCTGTGCTTGAGGTGCACTGGCCGGGAATTGAACTCTGGTCTCCCACATGAAGGCAAGAATTCTACCACTGAAGCACCACTACCTAGTGCCTACTTTTATTCTCTAACTTAATATACTATGTTGCAATGTTTTCTTCCTCATCCACTACCTACCCAGACCTGAAAGCTCCTGGAAGATAGGGATCCAGTGCCTAGCACAGTTCCCGACATGTATTAGCATTCTAGTAAATTGCAAAATGAAGAAATGTAAGTGAACAAATGACAAGTAATCTGACAAAGGAGGGATGACTGCAATTTATGAGGGTTGCCAGAAACAAAGCTGCTAAAGTGAGCCCCTCTGGTCTAGAATAATAAAGGTGATGCTCACATGTGGCTAGCTTATGAAATGCAATTAATCCTGCACCCTCAAAACCAGAGGCCTAATGAATGAAAGTCCCTAGATGAGTTTCTAGTCCTTACCACTTTTGAGGGACAGGCAAGGTTCCCAGGATTTCAGTTGTGTCTTTAAAGGCTGGAGTTGGACGTTTGTTGACTCCTGGGACGCTCCAAGAGATGTCAAATCCTTCCACGGCACTGCTGGACCCTGAAGACTAGCTGGAACCTGAAGTCAGTAAAATATGGTTAGCTTAGTGAGAATATCCCTGGGAAACTGCTGAGTAAAAATCTCAGAGAAGAGTTCACCAAGGACATCCCCAGGGATAAGCGACAGGGGAAAAAGAACCATTTAAAGGTAGAGACTTATACTGGCCCAAGGAGTCACTTCAAGATTTATGGTTCAGTAACAGCAATGCACCAGCCTAGAAATTCCTTCTCCCATAACACATCACATCTCCCTGTTCCCACCTGTTGCCCTGGATCATCAAACTCTCTCTCCAAATCCTCCAACAGGGTCACAGCTTCCTCGCCGCTTTTTGGACTCTGTTGCTGAACCCAGACCTGCAGCTCCTCAGGCAGGATGCTCAGGAACTGTTCCAACACCAGCAGCTCCAGGATCTGCTCCTTTGTGTGCAACTCTGGCATCAGCCACTGATAGCAAAGCTCGTGAAGTCGGCCCAGAGCCTCCCGAGGCCCAGGTGTCTCCTTGTAGCAAAACTTTCTGAACTGCTGGCGAAACATTTCTTGGCAGGACTGGGCACTCCCATCCTGTTTAGATTTCTGACCCCAGGAAAGGCCCTCTTCTACTTTCACTACTATTAGTTCTTGTTCCTGAGGATCCTGAGTTACCAGGGTTGAAAGTGCTTTGGATTCCATAGCCATTCTAGGCTGAAACAGCTTAGCAAAATGCTTGCTACAACTGGGTTCTGTGCTTCACAGTTTCCTTTAGTATTTCGTCTTTCAAAGGCTTTCCTGAAGGATACAAAAGCATCGTTAACTTGTAGCAGTGAAGAAATCTCTAAGAACTGGTAAATAAGCCAGATCAATCACTCAGTGATTTACTGAAAGGGAGTAGATTTGAGATTGTAACTAAATAAAAATCAAATTAGAAACTAAAAATCAGTCATGCTGTTCAGTGTCCCCCATTTTGAAGAATTCCTACCACTAATGCTGCAAGACTTTAGAAGTAAAAGAACACAATGTTAACATTAATTACATAGTGAGAAAATTTTCAATTCTCTTTCAAGTCTGATTTCATCAAGGGGAAAACTCTTGGGTGGTAGTATATCTTTAACAAGTCTGTAAACTTGCAAAATTCCATTTTTAACAGACAAAGTAAAGGCTTCAGATGTCTGAGGGTAAGAGTATCTTGCTAGAAATAATACTGATTTTTAAACACTTATTTTTAGTTACTTTCTATCTATGGCAAACGTTGTTGATATTTAGTAATAAAACATTTTTGAAAATTCACGTTAAACATGAGTTGACATAAATAAAAGTATTATTCAATATTTTCTAGTTGATCAAATTTGGGATTCACTGAATTCCTTCAGTCAACACTGAGGCACTTACTCTGGGCTCTGTCCTTTGCTGGGCACTAGAATACAAAGGTTCTTGCCCAGTAAATAAATCCATCTGGAGAGAAATTAGCCAATAAGTATTTGTTAAATGCTTACCACGTGTTCAAAACAAGTTAAATATCATAAAGAGACCCAAAAGAAGTAAAAGGAACCTCAACGCTCAAAAAGCATAGAAGATACTGGAAATAAAAATTTTAAAAGTGAGACATGGCAACAATTACTTATGTAGATATGTTGTGGTACACAGCAAACATTATCTGATTTTAGGTTAGGGGAATATCGATAGGAGGGTATGCCCTTGAATTAGTCAGCAAGACAAGACGAGTAAAATTTAACCCTAACATCACGGTTAACTTCAAAGACGGACTAGAAAATTTATGCCACAAATATGTGACTACACTAACCTTTCTATTTTTATATCCCCGGTTAAACCACTGCGTTCTTGAAGTCACAGGTGTAGGGAATTACTGTGCTTTCTCCGGAAAGCAGGGGATTGAGTGCCGGCGTCCTCTGAGTCCCCAAGACGCTCAGAGCCGCCTCCACGACAAAGAACCGCGACTCTGCAACAGGCTGAAAGAGAGGCCGGGCTCCTCCACACTGCACCCACCGCCGGGCAGCGCACCCTTTCCGTCCTCCCTCCCCTCAAGGCCTGCGTCCCTCACTGCGAAGCCCTGGAGCCAACAGCGAGCGAAGCACAGAACCAGTGCGCCCAGCCACAAAGACCGGAAATACGCGCCGCGGCCTTCCGCTCGCGCGTGTCGCTGGCACGCCCTCCCGAGCTTTCGTCTGCCCAGCCCCTTGCTCACAGACAGCCAATCATCGCCGTGGATTCTCCTTTTACCGCAGCCTGCGGGCTCTGGCCGCTGGGTTGACAGTAGATGTTTCCTCCGTTGAGAGGCAGCGGTCCAGGGAGGCTAGCGCTCCAGGGAGACTAGCCCAGCCCGCTTGTCCGCTTCGTAGTCTGGCGTGCGCCCACCGCCACCCACCGTTCTTGGTGTCGCACCCCTCCCCGACCCAACCTGCCCTCAATTTTTTAGAAAAGTATTCAGATTTCCCTGTAATTCCAGTTCTTTTCAGGGATCTCCACAAAAATAAGCAGGTGGATGAACCGACTGAACAAAATGTAAATCATTTATATTGTGCTTTCCCATGATTATGTCGTATGGAAAACTCACAGTCTGTTTGAAAATAAATTGAAGGAGGCTTATTAAGGGTTTGAAATCAGTTAAAGCCGGGCATCTACTTGGCCCATGAAAATGAAACCAGAAGTCCAAGACACAGTAATTACAAAGACAATTTTATAGGGCTGAAACGGGGGAATAAGGGGGAAAGGAGGGAGGCCGGCTTCAAAATTCTGATTGGTTTACAGCAATTGAGGTCAGTCAAAGGCGGGACATTGACAAGCGGCGCTTCAGATGTCACTGGTTACATTATTATAGCTGGCTTATATTGTTTGGATAAAGGACATAATTACCAGGCGGTGGAGTCTCATGTCCGTCACAAAACAATAGCATGACAGTGGCATGAAGGGCATTGTGGAGAATAGGTTGTCAAACATTACCTTGCTCAGAGCCCAAGATCTCCTGGGGAGATCTGAAACAGAGTTTTGGTAAGGTTTGGTTACACACCCCAGGACACATAGTATTCACATTCTTAGCCTGACCCAAGGAAATTTTTTCCTTAATAATAGGTTTGGTTCTTAAGCAACAGGAGTTGAATCCAGATGAAAGGTAAGCAACAGGGTTTGAATCTGTGTGAAAGGTTGGACTGAACCTTTAGCATTAGTTCAGCCATTTTACCTTAAGCCATATTCCTCTTTTGATTTTATATCCCACATCATTCCCTACTTTTGAGCAGGGATTTCAAAGACTATCCTTTGATGACATTTACGGGCATACTCTCTTCTGCATGAGTTTGTTAATGTGCAGATATCAGGTCTTGGCTTAACTTTTGTAGTTTATTTCTTTCTTTTATTCACGTTAAGTCCCTTTTTCCCCCATAGTCAGGGGCCACTGGAATCTTGGTTGCTGGACAGCTCCAGTAAGTGCATGCTATGGCTGAGCACCCATCTTCAGTGATATTGGTACAGGGAATGGATAGGGTACGACCACATTGGAGGAAGAACCTAACCTACTTTCAGATGGCTAATCTAAGCCATGAGGCTTCTCTAGTTATGGGTTCCTGAATGCACTGCTGATATACATAATTCTTATACCACATTTTATAATTTCAATAACAAGGATTATTATTATTACTATAATTAACCAGGTTTGCAACAGAGTCTGTAAGCAACAACTTACACTATTCCAAGCAATAGAAAAAGGAAACAATAAAGGGATTAAAAACAGTTGTAGGAATAATACTACGAACATCCAAAAACTATGATTAATCCTATTATCATTGGGGAGCCCTGGTGGTGCAGTGGTTAAGAGATCAGCTGGTAACCAAAACGTTGGCAGTTCTAATCCACCAGCCACTCCTTGGAAACCCTATGGGGCAGTTCTACTCTGTCCTATAGGGTTACCATGAGTCAGAATTGACTTAACGGCAATGTTTTTACTATTATTATCTTTATTCGACTGAGTTCAAAAATTTCTAAAGGTTGTGATGTTGCAACCCACTAATGAGACTAAAACAATAACAATCAGAAGCAAGAGTCTAAAGAACTTAACAAACTGCACGAGCCTTGGGTACAGGACTGGTCCAGCGTCTTGGGAGTGCAAGCAGTCTGCTTCTTTTCCAGGAGGTTGTCTGAATCTTAGCTTAAGTCCTTCAATTGGTTGAACAGTCTATTCAAGAGTGATTGCCTTCTTTAGCTTGGAGAAATGAATCTATAATTTAGTGGCACAAGGATTAGTAAGGAGAACCACATTTGATCCTTTCTAATGATGCTCCTGTGAATTTTTTTAGCTGATGTCCTTTCTAATACATATGGTCCCTTGGAACAATATAAGGCAGATTTTGGAATTTAATTTTTCAGTTGTCAAAGTCTTCTTTAACCTATGAAAATTTTTTTTAGAGTATAGGATTAAAGATTGACAATATTTAAAAATATTAGAGGTAGAGTCACTATGAGTTGGAATCAACTCGATGGCAATGGCTTTTTTTTAATTTTTTAAATTTTTTATAAGCAACGTAAAACCAAACCTAACCCACTACCATTGAGTCGATTCCAACTCATAGCCATTACAGTCATTGCTCACTATAGTCATTCCAGCGTTTATTTCTTGGACTCCATGGGCAGAATCATTTAAAACATGCTAAATGTACTTAGTCAGAACTTTAACGTGTGTCATTATATCTTTTAATCTATAGGATATTCTGTAGCCAGCATAATGTTATTAGTTACTGAAATAACTGATTTTCATATAAAAAGAGGGAAAGGAAAATAAAAAATGGTTTCCTATATCTAGAAATTAGAACATTGAACCTGGCAATCTTTTATAAAAACCTTATGGTAATTCTTTTAGTTCACTCGGTCCCACGTAGCTAATCTTGGTTCCATGCCATTCTGGATCAGCAGCAACTTGAAAAACCTCGTAAGTTTCTACACAAGAGTTCTAAAAATCTTGATTTAGTCTGATAGTATTCATGTCTGAAATATTATAGTTAAGTGTTTTCAGTGAATCTGTAAAGAAAAACTTATCTCTCAATGACTGCTGCGTGATGGATTGCTTTTGTGTAGCCTTTCTAGCCATGGTCTTGTAACTCCTACCCAAGTGATTGGGTGGGACTGTGAAAATAAGACAATTGTGGCCCACCAAGACGATTGCTCAATTTTACCTTAAAAGAGCTAATTTCAGAGAAGACAGAAGATCCCACCACCACCAAAGAAGAACAGCCAGGAGTGGAGAGCTCATCCTTTGGACCTGGGATCCCTGCACTGAAAAGCTCCTGGAACCAGGAGGCAGAGAGAGAAAGAAAGCTCAAGAAGCGGTGGCAGAGAAACAATGGCAGGAGACAGTGGGGTGGGCTTCCCAGCCCACAAAGAAAGAAAGCTATTTGTCTTTGGGCAGGAGGCTTGCTGGTAGAGTAGAGTGCCTCTGGGCACTTACTGGCAGAGCTAAAAGAGCTTTGTAACACTTGCCTGAGCAGGGCAGAGGCTGAGGGCCAGAGAAGTATGCCCAAGAGCATAGCTGGGAAGAGGCTGTCCTGGTGGAAGAACTGTATCCTGACTGTTCTTGAACCTGAATTGTAACCTGTTACTTCCCTAATAAACCTCATAATCGTGAATATTGTCTGTGAGTTCTGCATGGCCATTGCGATGAATCATTGAACGCAGCAGAGAAGTAGAGAGCACCGTGTGAGGGACAGTTAGTATCAGAATTGGTAAAGATGGTGGAGATAGGAGGCATGTCTGACCTCCACCTCATAGGAATCAGCTTTGGGCTGTTGATCTTGATTCTAGTTCCCCCTTGTGAAGTTAGAGGAGGTCAGACACTCTCCCCATGCTGTTTTTACAATGACAGACTTAAAAACAGCTATGGTTATTTTAGATAAGCCCTGGTTGCACAGCGGTTAAAGCACTTGGATGCTAGATCAGCAGTCTGGACCCACCAACTGCTCCATGAGAGAAAGATGTGGCAAGCTGCTTATAAAGATTACAGTCCTGGAAACTCTACGGGGCAGTTCACTCTGTCCTACAGGGTCGCTATGAGTCCACATTGACTCAACAGCAACAGGTTTGGTTTGGTTAACTTATAATAAGAATTCTTAAAAACAAAAAGACTTGATGGGCATTAATTACAAAAGTAATGCAAAACTAAATAAACTCAAATAAAAACTTTAGACAATAATATTTTAACTGTAATGATTAGCTTCATTTCTAAAGAGCTTCGGATACAACACATAATAATCTTGAGACATAGTACCATATAGTCAAAATATATCAAGAATATATTAAGCTAAACATTTGAACGTTAATAAAAACTTAATGGGTAAATGATATGAATTTCTCAGTTAAAATCATTAGCTTTGATATGCTAGATTCAAAAGAAATAAAGTTGTGATCAAGTTAGCAATTAAAATAATAAAATTATGCCATAATATCATGTATGTCTTAGTCATCTAGTGCGGCTATAACAGAAATACCCCAAATGGATAGCTTCAACAAAGATAAATTTATTCTCTCACTATCTAGTAGACTAGAAGTACAAATTCAGGGCATCACCTCCAGGTGAAGGCTTTATCTGTCAGCTCTGGAGGAAGGTCTTTGTCATCAATCTTCCCCTGGACTAGGAGCTTCTCTATGCAGGAACCCCAGGTCCAAAAGTCGTGCTCTGCTCCCTGCACTTCTTTCTTGGTGGTATGATGTCCCAAACTCTCTGCTTGCTTCCCTTTCCTTTTATCTCTTGTAAGATAAAAGGTGGTACAAGCCACTCTCCAGGGAAACTCCTTTTACATTGGATCAAGGATGTGACCTAAGCAAGGGTGTTACATCCCACTCTGATCATCTTTAACCACAGGCAAAGATTATGATTTATAATACATAGGAAAATCGCAAAATGGAGGACAACTACACAATGCTGGGAATTATGGCCTAACCAAGTTGACACATATTTTGGGGGACACAATTCAATCCATGACAATGTAGTTATTTGTTTAGTATCATGCAAATATTACTGACATTTAAATTTTAACTCAAAGAAAATTTGGTATTTTTCCTGATTGAAAACACATTTTATGTAATTCATAACATAAATAAAATGCTTTT